TACTAAGTGCTGCGGGCCACACTCCTGTGATACTCCTTACTAGCAGCCCTTATTGTGCACCTTCCGTATTCCAGGCACTCTGCCTGGCTCTGGGCACATCCTGTCCCTTTCGATAACACCTGAAAGTCGTGGGTTTCCTCCTTCACAGAAGGGGTAGCCAGGCTTAGAAAGTTTGAACCAGCGGCCTAAGATGGTTGGCTGAACCTGGGTTCCGTTTCTGGTCCGCCAGAATTCAAAACTCATGCTCATTCATGCGACTGTGTGCCTCCTGATGGTATACATAAGGAACAAAATAGCACAGGTCAATTCTACTTGAGAAGCAAATAATGACTCTGTAATTCATAGAAAGAATTTGAGGACGTTTGCATTTTTGCATAAGACACCAACGTTTAAATGATCAGGACACTTAATCTGCATGTATCTAATTTAATCCTCATAGCAACCCATGATGCACAGATACTAGCAGTATCTGCATTTTACAGGTGAGGAAAAGGAGGAAATAAGAGGGTAAAATTTGCCTGAGGCTCCTCAGATGGAGCTGGGATTAGAGCCCAAAGCTTCAGGACTTACTGCTTCTAGAACCGGTCCCATCTGTGCCTTGTGGCGTGAAACATGCTCAGGTTAAAAGCATCTCCTTCCTTTCCCCAACAATACGTGGGTAACTGCTGGAGACGAAGGAAATCATGAGATATGCTGTTGTTGTCATCCCAACTGTCGGTATTTAACTGATGGAAATCTGATCCCTGAAGTTTCTGAACATGAAAGTGCTTTTTAATTTTGGTATACATCCTGGTTCTGCTTTAACAGATTTATTACTTTGATAGGGTTTGATAATCTAATTTTCAAACGTGTAGCTTGTTTTTAAGAGTTAGCAAGTCGGTAGGTTTAGAAATTAATCAAGGAGCAGTGAGGTTTACAAGGAGGACAAACGCATGTTAATCAGAGTTAACACAGAATGCATGATGGGAATTTCAGTCCTTAGTCTGTTACAACAGGATAAATACATGGCTCCTTTTGAGTGAGCAAAGGTCATATCCTACCTTCTTTCAGATTTCTGTTTTGAGAAAAGCATTTTTATGTAGAATTTGAATTCTTAAAAACTGAGGTGGCATTCATTTGTTTTAATAAGCAATAACATGTTTCAAATTTGGTGTATCATACTTTTAGAGATGCACATGCGTATTGAATTTCAGGAACTGGCAATCTTGATAAGGTTTTGAAGGTGTAGGGAAGGTCTGAGCCTCTGTTTACTTTCTAGAACTATGCTTGTCACGTGTGTGTGGACGTTTCCATCAGCTGTTGATAATCACTTCTCCTATAAGCACTTTTTATTTTCTATTCATGATGCCTGCTTTCAGTTGCTACCTTGTACATTTACATGTGTGAGCACCTTCGACTTGATGAGCAAGACCTCATATTTCCCCCATTTCTAGTTTTTCTTAAGTATCTCAGTGGCGGTAGCAATTGAAATGTACGAAGCTAGCTGGTTACTGATTACTCTGTCATATGAGGAACTTTTTAAGTATGATATTTAAAAATAGTATCAAAATCCTTTCATCAAGATCTTGATTTGGTAAAAGGTGAGAATAATGGGCTGGGCGCGGTGGCTCATGCCTGTAATCCTAGCACTTTGGGAGGCCGAGGTGGGGTCAGGAGTTCAAGACCAACCTGGCCGTCATGGTGAAACCCCATCTTTAAAAAAGAAAAAAAAAATGGTGAGAATAATGAAAGGGCACAGTGCAGTAGAGACAAGTAGAGTGGCAAGTCTGTGAGTGTCTGGGGGCTGCACATGTGTGCGTCCTCCATGCTGCTCCGCCGGTTGCTGGGTTGCTCAGGGAGGCTCAGCACCAAAGCACCTTTTCTGAATCAGTGTTCAAATGTGTTAAATGTTTCAGGGATGGAAAGAAAAAAGTGAATGCCCAAGGAAGGGTGACTGAATTGAACATGACCACAAATAATTCACTCTGATTAACAGGCGAGATGAGTTGAAAGGAGAAGAAATTTTCTGAAATGGCCTAGGTTTAAAAAAGGGCAACAACCCTTTGTCAAGAAGGCACAGTATCTGCACTGCCTCATGAAACAAAATCTAACCTGTGTTATAAACCAGCTAAATGCTTAAGGCTTTGAGACTCACCTAGTCCTTCCCCAGGTCAGCCTGACACCACTAATCATAGCACAGGTGCAGAACCAAGGTCAAGCATTCTGAACTATTCTGAACTGGGGATAGGGAGAACGGTGGATTTTCCCTGACGCTCATGTAGCCAGTGTCACGGTCTTTCAATTTCAGGGGCCCTTTCTAAGACCCTATACCTAATTTTGTATTCATTATGTTTTTCTTAAACAGAAGGCTTCAAAACCCACAAAATCTAGGTCCACTCCTGGGTGAGAATATCTGTGACCCTCCTGAAGACAGTGTGGACATGGCTGGGTGGATATGTAAATATGCTTCCATATTTTTCTGGAAGGGTTTGTAGTCTTCTCAAAGCCATCTGTGACTTACAAAGGTTAAAGAACTCAGGCCACGGAGCAATTAGTCAACCTCTTAATTCTAATCTTATGAAACCAAACTTAGTAAGTGATGGTTTAATTGCTAGAGGCCATAATTTGTGACTCAAGTAGAATAGCTTCCGGAATGTATCACAGGACACACTGCTCACCAGACACATAGATGGGAACATTCTTGATGGTTGCTTACTCTCATTCATACATTCAGTCACTCATTCATTCATTCCTAAACACTGAACTGAGTACCTGCTCTGCCGTCTGCAGCCTGGTAGGTTCCAAGATTTCAGACATGAATTAGGCAGACTCGCCCCTTTTGAGAATTCACGTACAGTAGTTCCTGTCAGTTCAGCTGAAGGAGGAGTCGGCATTCTTTCTCAAGTTTCCCACATGTGTGTCAGTGCTGTCCTTGAGATCTTCAGGCTATGTTTAATTGAAATAGAAGCTCTTCAGCATACACCTTCCTCCAAAATATTACGCAGAAAGCCAACCTCCTAAGAGAGCTGTGTCCTGAGGGCAGGGGCAGGTCTGGGTGCACCCCTGAGCCCCGGCTCTGGCCTCCCGCTGGCCCCGTTCTGTCCAGCTGCACGTGTCCTTGAGAAGGACTCCGAGTGCAGGGAGACCAGCAGGGTATCCACCAGATACCTGAGAGTGCAGCAGTAAATACTGCTTCCACTGTCACTGGGGCTGAGAGACTTACCCTTCTGGCTAACAGCTTTATTAATTCTGCTATTAGTCTCTGGCAGACAGAGCAAGAATTCTTCCCACACGATCACATGTAAATGAGCCCGTGGAAACTGGGCTGTGGAAGTTGTTTTCATTTCCCCATTACTACTTTTTGTGTCTCTCATTACCCACTCCTTTGAATTCAAATCCTATTGATTCTACATCAAAAGTCTTGTTGCCTCTGCTGTCATCCTTATGGAGGTCCTCATTCTCTCCCATGTCATCTGCTGGTACAATTCTTACCCCTGGGTTTCCTACCCCATTCTCCTGCCTCCCTTCAGTCCACCCCACACATTCCTGTTCGTGTTACCTTCTGCAAAGCACCATTCCAGTGCCTCTCCTGTGCAGGGTGAGATCCAGCTTCCCAAACAGAAGCCAAGGAGGTAGTAGGGGATTGTTACACAGCATGCAGGGGAAGACCGAGCAAAGTACTGTGGTGTCCCAAGACACTTAGTGCTTCTTCGGCTTTCCCGTCCTCTCCTGCACCGCCTCTGGGTATCCCTCCGCCCTCCCGATGGTTCCTTCCATCCACGTTTCTCATCTGCCCCTTCCACACCCCTACTTCCATCTCTCAAAATGTTATTCAGGTTTCATATTATTAAGGGAGGCACCAATTCTGAAGCAGGTACACAAGGTAAAAATCTCATAGATTGCGCTTTGAAACTCTAGAGCCAACCTGAGAATAGCCAGGTGCTCCTCTCTCCACTCCTCTGGACATCAGCTAAGAAGCCGCTGAACAGAGGGCACTGAAAGAAAGCACAGTCAGGCCTTCAGCTTCTCCAGCTCTGCCCAGGCAATGTTTCCCAACCTGTTGTGTCCAGCATGAAGAGAAAATGACAGTATTTGTTTGGCACACAAGGTACTGTGAGGGACAGAGCGTGGGGTCACGTGGGGGTGTCCCTGTTGGTGCAGCCATCCTGTGACAGAGAACCAGCTAGAAATCTTTGTCCTAGGGATGTGTTTGCTGAATCAAGTGGCTTCCATGGGTGGTGGTTTTTGTGACAGGGTCTCACGCTGTCACCCAGGCTGGACTGCAGCAGCACAGCCTCGACTCACTGCAGCCTTCACCTTCCAGGTTCAAGTGGTTCTCCTGCCTCGGCCTCCAGAGTAGCTGGGACTACAGGCCCCCGCTACCACACCCGGCTAATTTTTGTATTTTTGGTAGAGATGGGGTTTCACCATGTTGCCCAGGCTGGTCTCAAACTTCTGACCTCACGTGATCAGCCTGCCTTGGCCTCCCAAAGTGCTGGGATTACAGGCGTGAAACATCGCCCATGGCCCATGGCCCATGGTGTTTCGATCTCATTCCTCCATTGTATGGTTGCATCTCTCTAAGAGCTAAATATGCCTGTCATATGACCCCACTTTACAGATTCTACCCTTCATGAATTCTGCCTTGATTTTCTATCAGCATGGCCTGTCTTTCTCATACGGTTTATGTGTAGTCTAGAGACTTAGGAATGTGGCCTGGCCCTTCAAGGAAAGGAAGTGACTGATTCATGCCTACCTTGGGCCCACCTGGCTTGTGGTGGGTGTCCACACGTGCCTCTGTTGAAGGAGAACTGGAACCCATTACTTGATCGATATCACAACAGGGCTTTCTCTACATCTTGAAAGTAATTCTTTCCTGTTTCTGTCATTATAGGATTTCAGAAACGGGCTTGGGAACCACGTGAGTCCAGGATCCCACACACCTGCTGCCTGTCAGCCCGGCTCGGCGAGTTCCAGAATGGTGCTGTGCAGGCCAAGGCTGCATCAAGACTGTGTGCCCCGGACGGCCGTGGGTGTGGCTCTGCTGGCTCTTCTTCTGGCTTTTTTTGTCAAGGTGTATAATTAGAATACAACTAAATGAGGCACCTGTAAAGAAGAGTAAGTTTCTAATTAAAATCTGCAATGAACAGGAAAGCGACACCTCCGTTCTCAAAGGGCAATGATTTGTACTGGTCACACTGCCTCCTCTTCAGCTGTTCTTCTTAGTGAGGCTCCCCCCCGTCTCGCATTGAGTGGGACCTGTTGGTTATTTGACCTAAATCCTAATCACAGCTACCGTAGTATATTCTTCAAATTAAACTGCTTTTCATTTACTTTTAGTAAGAAATGCTAGTGGTTGCATTTTTTTTTTCTGTGTCCAATCTTTAAGTCAGAAACGAATTGTACGGTGACTCTGGTCATCTTTTCCTCATGTGGAAGAATTTTCCATCTTTAATACACTTGTTCTTTTTTTTTGAAACAGAGTTTTGCTCTTGTCACCCAGGCTGGAGTGCAGTGGTACAATCTTGGGTCACTGCAACATCTGCCCGCTGAGTTCAAATGATTCTTCTGCCTCAGCCTCCCGCATAGGTGGGATTTTAAGCATGTGCTACCAAGCCTGGCTAATTTTTTGTATTTTTAGTAAAGACGGAGTTTCACCATGTTGGCCAGGCTAGTCTCGAACTCCTGACCACAAGTGATCCGCTCACCTCGGCCTCCCAAAGTACTGGGATTATAGGTGTGAACCACTGCCCCTAGACTCTTTAGTAAACTTTTAAGTCCATCTTCCCCTTCAGGCTTTGTTTGGAGTCCCAGTGCTACAAACGTTTTATTTTTCACAACAGATGTGTTCCTGAAAAGTGCGTATAGAAACCCGTTCTGGGAACCTGAAGGCTTTTAGAATGCACAGGGAGGGTCTGCCAGCTAAAGGACTCCTGGCAACATTCTGTGAAATACGACACTGAAAAACGTTTTGTCTAAACCAAATTGTGCCCATTTTCTCACATTTTTGATCCATTCGTTTTTTGAGTCAGGGTGTCACTCTTGTCACCCAGGCTGGAGTACAATGGCACTATCTCAACTCACTGCAGGCTCCACCTCCTGGGCTCAAGCAGTCCTCCTGCCTCAGTCTCCCTAACAGCCAGGACTACAGACACATACCACCATGCCCAACTAATGTTTTAAATTTTTGTAGAGGTGAGTGTCACTATGTTGCCCAGACTTGTCTGGAACTCCTAGCCTCAGGCAGTCCTCCCACCTCAGCCTCCCTAACTGCTGGGATTACAGGCATGAGCCACTCCACCCAGCCCAGATTAAATGTTTTTATTTCTACCTGCCATCATTGGTCTTTACTAAGTGAAGAGACTTCTTAACAATAAATGGAATTGGCACACTAAGCAAATCCTGTGTTCATCAGAATTGATTTGGATTGCACAGGTACAGGAAAACCAGGTTCCTTGCAGTCACCATACGGTATTTTCCATCTTGAAACTCATGACCCTCTTCAACTCTTCCATTTAACGCAAAATATTTGTGTTTTGTGTGTCTTTTTTTTTTTTTTTTTTTTTTTT